ACTTAAAGAAGGGGGGAAAGATACAATGCATACCCCGAGTGAAAACTCACTTTTCCTAGCAGTTCCCTTCTCTGTACAATATGAGAATTTTGTATAATATCAACCTCGTTCTGATACAACTGGTAAATTGCATGTGCTTATGCACATGAGAAATCTAAACCTGTAACTTATCTACGTTAAAAAAATAAAAATATCTAAGTAAACAAATAGAAAGAACTTCATAAGTCAACCATAATCTTTATTTACCTTATAAGTTAATGAACTATGTACTTTTTGCCATAGGAGGTCATGTGAGTTCCCTGGATTTTAATACTCAACTTCAAAGAAAAGCTTATATAGTTTTGGTAGGGATCAACAATGAGAGCAAAATATATCATATATAACCAAAATTGTAAATTAGGTATTCAACAAAAATTAGAGCCTGCACACAGGAAAAGCATGAACCTCAGTAATTTGCCTACACAGTATTCTCACTTATGACACATCAAAATCTCCTCTTTATACACTGCAATAACACAAAAAGAAATAGCTACTCTGCATTGTTCTCAGCCTGCCATATATCAGAGAAAAACTTCTCCACTAAATCTTCACCCTCAATTTCATGATCGACAAGTTTCTCAGAATCCATAACCATCATATCCTCTTCTTCATTATCATCATTCTCCTCCTCGACGCCATTTATAAGAGGAGTCGTAGGGGAGAGACCGGTCATATTATTTCCCGATAAGGTAGATAGATTTTTTTTGTTGGAAGATATTTGTGAAGGGAACTTGTTTCTTGTACTCCCAGCTAAAGAGTTCCGGTGAGTGGGGACGGGGTGGTTGTGCTCGCCGGTGTAGGTTAAGATGAGCATTGTTGGGTCAGTCTGGCTACGCTCCACCTGTTTTCGCGCTAGGCACGCTTTTGAGCTGCTACACCGATAATATCCTCTGCACAAATCCCACAATACAAAATCTCAGACAACTTACACGACTAGATAAATTGCGAGGTTAATTGAAGGAGTCCCAATACTCGGTTCTTATTTCTGAAGACTCAATTGCTTGACTTTCTATAATTATGACTGAAATTTAAATTAAAAAAATTCAGTCTGATTGGCTTTTTATGATGTTGATCAAGTGCATATGAATGAACTTAGAGATGACTAGAAAACACATGATGTTGAAGTGCATATGAATGAAATGACAGCTAAAGAAGTTCTAATTTTCAGTATTTATCTGTAAACTTTCAATTCCTCCAATCTCAGAGAGACCTATGAATTAGTTCGTGCATCCTTATTCTTGATTTCTTTCTTCCCCTGAAGCTAAACCTCAAGGAAAAATCTAGTAACATTTGACTGAAATTTTCATGAAGTGCAAAAATTTTCATAAAGTGCAAGCCTACAAATTATAAATTAACTTAGAGAAGAATTGCCTACCGAGGGTAAGGTGAACCTTTAATAGGTTTTTGCCCATACTTTCTCCAAGCCCACATATCTGAAGAGAGTCCATCGGCAGGAACTTGGCAAACCACCTTCTTCTGTTGGTTCTTTCTGCAAATTTCAATCAAATTAACAACTAATAAAATCTTTGACAAACACAAAGGAGGATATTTCTATGGTCAGGCTTACCCTCGTCTTTTCGAACGAGGAATACTGTGTGAACTTTGCCTTTGAGTCTCCTGTTGTGGCTTATGCTGAGATTGCAAGAAGAAAGGTTTGCATAGATCCTCAAGCTCATAAACCGCGTCATTGGTTGTCGTTAGATCAGGAAGCGATAAATTACCCTCTGCTTCATAATTACCGATGAAATTATCGGTTGTATAAGAATTAAAAGGGTCTAAAGTTGCACTTGTAGTTGCACCGCAGCCACGGACAACTGCATATAGATCCCAGTTGTTGGCATTCTCCATAGATTTTGAGGAAGGGAGAAGATGGTGAGGAGTTGACTTTTGTTTTTGAGCTTGTGTTGGATTGGGATATATAAAGAGAAAGCACTGGATGTTGGGAGTTTATATGGGAGGCTATCTACTGGTAGATAATGGCTATATTTTGGTGGAGAGAGTGGGCGTTGCCGAAATCCTAATGAGACTTTTTTGGGCATAGCCTAGCCTTTTTGTTTGACTTAGAGAGATTGTCAAAGGAGTGAGAAAGCGCTCTCTCTCTCTCTCTCTTTCTCTCTCTCTCTGAGGATTTTATGTGTATTTATCTACTTCATCAAGTTGTACACGATTGCATACACGCGCATCACGTCACGGCTGCCCTTGTTCGCATAGTTAAATTTGTGTGAGACATTTGTACAAAGATGGGAGTGAACTAACAGGACGGATTTGGATCCTCCCGTTACCATGATGTATGATCTTAGACGTCTATTGTTTAGCTGACAGTTCTGATTCACTCTAAATCTCCCTCCCTCTCTTTTGAACTATTTTTTCCCCCACCAAACCCCTTGAACTTTTGGGTGTTTGACAACAACACCCCAGGAACCTTCAAATTTGCCCAATGGACCCCTGCAAACGGTGTTAATTGTTAATATGACCCGGTCAATTATTGACCAAACCAACCAAGGAATATTCCCTAGATATTATTGGGTTATTAGCATAACTTCCTTAATATCTGTAGAAGAGGGATTCGTGGATGGGTAGAGGAAAGTATGGAGGTGATACGATTTGGGGTGGAGGTGGTTACTGGAAAGCCTCTATAAAAGGAAGGGTTGTCTCATTGTTGAGATACACGGAAAAACACAAAAGTTTCTATCCGGAATCCCAAATCAAAACCACCATCTTTTATCCTTTTATTGGTATCAGAGCTATTAAAGATCCGTTCCCTTCTGTTTCCTCGAAAAGAAAAAACTAGTTTCACTCTTTGTCCGATAGAGAAAAGAGAGTATTCCGTTTTCAATCAAAAACCGTGCTCACCTTGCTCTTAGGTATATGTTTTTTAAATCTTTTCTCTAAACAACTAGTGAAGTTGTCCCTTATCTATTTTTTAAATATTTTTTTGAGCCACACTTCCAGTGAAGCTTTGGAAGTTGTTCTCTCTCATTTTTTTTATTTTCAATCTTTGTCCCATCAAGCACTCCACCTCAAAAACTAGCTATTGTTGCCACTAGTTTTTTTCCAATATTTTGTTATTCTCTCAACACCCCAGGAACCTTCAAATTTGCCCAATGGACCCCTGCTAACGGTGTTAATGCTCTTATTGTCCATTATCTTGATTGTGAAGTTTGTTGATCTATTAACATTGTTTAGGAGAGTTTGGAGGAAAATTTTGAAAGTTTAAGATGGTTTTGCAAGACAGCTCATAGGGCATTGAGGGTTATGGTAACCCACAAAGTTATGTGGAAACTCCCCCAAGTTCGGGGGGTCTGGTGAAATTTAACCATTAAAATACAAGAATTAGAAAAAGCATGAATATATATATATATATATATATATATATATATATATATATACTAAAGTTATTGGGTCTATAACTATAGAAAGTCTTTTTCATAATTACTGTAACATAGCTAAATATATATAAACTGAGACAGTTAAACAATTATAAATGTTAATGTTGGATATTTTGTTGGAGAAAAGGCAATTTTGCTTTAATGAATACTAATAAATTTTGTAATTAAAATATGCTTTAATTAGAATTTAAAATAAGAATAATGGCTATACATTATGACAAACGTTACAGAATTAATTACGGGTTTTGTAACGTCTTTTCCAACCCTATATATATATCCGTATGTTGAGCTCAAAAGAATAAGAAAAAATATACAACAAAAAGTTTCTCTTGTTTCTCTTCTCCTCTACATATTATTTTCATCTACATCTTTATTTTATTTTATGGGCAACTTTCTTCATTTGAGCTGAAGCTCTGCACTCTCGCCCGAGTGCAGAGGCCGGCCGTTTCCGGGGGCTTTTACCGCTAGAGGGGAGGGAATCATCTACTCCAGGGCGATAGGCGGGTTCTCAATCTTCTAGGACGGTGAATACACGACTGCTCCCGTCAGGCCTAATTTTTCTTATCTCTCATTTATTTTGATTTTCGGATTTATTTCATGCAATAATCTTAATTATTTGATATATTTCCAACAATCTAGAAGATTGAGAAGTTTATAGATGTTGTTTCTTAAATCTGAAAATCATTTATAAAAAAAACTAAAAAAAACTCTGTTCATTCAAAGTTATATGTTATTGTTCATTCGAGTTTTTACTGTTCATCAGGGAAGATTGCATATTAGTATGTGTAATACATATTAACTGTATTTGATCATATTATTGTTTAGTATTTTGTGTAATGTAAGTTTCATCCGTTGGAAGTAAAGGTTTCTTCCTTTCATGCTTAATTATTTGCTGACCAAACTTTTGCTTAGATATATATATATATATATAGAGAGAGAGAGAGAGAGAGAGAAATATGGGTATGCTTGGTACCAAACACAAAAATTATGTTTGGTAGTGAAGTGACATATTATCCTCCACTCATTCAAATAGGGGGACCACATTCACATGGGTTGAATGTGGTCCCCCATTTGAATAAGTGGATGAGAATGAGATATATCACTACCAAGCATAAAATTTGTGCTTGGTACCAAACATACTCATTTTTCACACACACACACACACACACACATGTACTTAGTTAGATTGCACATGCAATGCACGTGATCGAATATCATGATTATTTAAATTGAAAAAAATAGAATAAAAATAAAAGAGAAAATAAAGTTTTTTGTGGGATTGATTATGAACACAATAATCTCTCTTTCAAATAAAATATTATCATTGTTTTCATCAACCTAGACTGTCGCCACATGATCTACTATTTGTGAGTTAGAAACACATTGATCTAGTATAATATCTTTATTTATTAGTATCTTGAAGTCTTTAAAAGATGGGTGATCATTCAATTCGTAAAAAAATTTTGTATATGAATTTACTTGCAACATGTCCATTAAACTTTTAGTTGTGGTTTGACTCATATTCACATTAACTTTTAGTTGAGATTTTACTCATATTTATATTATCTAATATTCTCATTCAATTTTATAGCTCATTCTCTATACCATAGAAGTAAAAGTGAAAGTATGAAGAATTATTTTCTTGCGAAATTAAAGCAGGGAGATTATGATATATTTTTTCATGTGCTTTATATATAAAAAATCTCTTTGATGCAAGGTCCCTATCAAATCTTACTCCAAACAATGTGAATGGAAAATGCTATTATAACTCACTTGCCTGAAGTAATTATATTGTATATGAGACATATACAGTAGTCTCATGTATTTTCTAGGTCTGACTGCAAAATACGCAAGAGTGGTAGTCTCGTATATTTTCTGACTTTAATTACTTTTATAATTAATGTTCTCTATTTACACTTGACTATTAGTCCCGTGTATTTTAAAGATGATTTTTACACAAAATCAACCTCTTTTATTGCCAATCTTAATGGTGCGGCAAAAAAAGATCAATTTTGTTAATTATTATGTAAAATAGTCGATTTTGCTAATATTTTTAAAAAGTGATCTTTTTAAAAATTCTCTTAAAATAAATTGTTAATTCAAAATATGAAATGGGCGAAAATACCTAAACATTCTGGTGATTAATTGACCCATTAAATAGGTAAAAATAACAATTAAAATAAAAAGTATATTTAAATTGAATCTAACAAGGTACTTTACATGATGAAACATAAAATGGTCCAAGAAATTATTAAAAAAGAATTAAAGAAACGAATTTTGAAAAAAAAATGAGATCGAGGGATAGAGGGAGAGAAGACCTCACCAACATGAATTCTTTTTCTCTTCGAGCGTGACAGCAAAATTGGTGGAGGATGAGCAAGGAGAAAAGTGAACAGAATAGGTGACAAAGTGGGCATGCTTATATAAATAGTTTATTAAGATATTTATTCTGAAATCATAAATACATACATATTAGTCCCTAACATCTTTGTAATTGCTCATTACAATGATATTACTATTCAGTATTAAATCAATTTTATTATATAAGATTATATACCATTTTTAATAAATTATAAAGTATATATATGGAAACATCGATGTTAATAGCCAGTAGTTAGGCTCTACAAAATAGGTTAACTTTATATTGTAGTTTGCTATTGGTAATACTGTTGGCAATACCATTACATTTCCATTTTATCTTATTATTCACACTTTTCTGATGTAAATCCTCTTTTGTTAGTCACTCAATTGGCTATATTTTATTTTTATAATATCAGAGGTTAGAATATTCTTTTCTGTTTAAAAAATATCGATGTAATTTTTTTAAAAATATATACACATAGTAGCAATAGTATATTCTTCGGTTCAACTTAAACATTGACTTGAAGCCATTTGGAATGAGGTACTTTCTACGTTAGAATGGTGACATAGTGAGTGATCAACTATAATCATCCTAATTTAAGTATAAATAATTATTATTTTAATTATTTAATTTGATACGTGTAACTATAAAATAAATCTCAAGCAAAAAAGTTATGAGTAATAGATTTTTAATTAGTTATGTTCTTTTTAAAAAAGTTATGAGTAATATTGACCATGAAAAGTTTTTCCTAAACCTATACTTTTAAAGGGAGTATGATATTTTTTTGTAAATTTTTTATTTTCTAGGGGCTACTAGTAATTTTGTTTATTCATTTTAGTGTCTATAGGTTAAAAATATTTATGGTGTTTTTTATAAATTATGAATATTAGGGGTTTTTTGTAATTTTTTAAACTTATAGGTATTTTCTATAGATTGTAAATTGTTTATAGGCTATTTATAATTCCTATATTTTCAATTTACTAATGAGTTTGAAATTCTCAGGGTGTTTTTTGTAAAACTTGAATTTTGAGTGCTTATCTGTAATTTTTAAAACTTTAAGGGTGTTTTCTATAAATCATAAATTATGCATGGATATTTGTAACTCATATATTTCCAATGAACTGTTATGTTAGAAATTATCAGATTTTTGTAAAATTTACAATCTTGAGGGTTTTATCTTGTAATTTGTAAAAAGTTTAGAGTTTTATTACAAATTTTATAAATTTTTGGGGGTTGTTTGTGTTATTTTTAGCTTTTTAGTGTGTTTATTGGTTTAAATTTTCAAGGTGTTTTTTACAAATTTTAAATTTTAGGAGTGTTTTTGTATTATTCAGAACTTACAAGATAATTTCTCTAATGTCAAAAACTTTTATTTTTTTAGCTAGCATATATTTTTCAGATTTCTCACTGAATATAAATAATTAAAATTTATAATTTTTAAGATGTTTTAATAAAATTTTAAATTTATAGGGTTATTTTTGCAATTTAAAAACTTAGAGGATATTTTTTACAAGATCCAAAACTTTTAGGTGCTGGTTAGCATATATTTTTTAGATTTCTCTGTAAATTAAAATAAATAAAAAGATTTGAATTATATCAAACATATCACATTTATCCAATAACATGTTAAGTCTCATTATGAATAGAATAAATTATTTAATTATAAATTTAAAGAAGTTAGGAAGATTAGAATAGATTAGGATAACAATATAATATTTAAAAAAATTAAGGGTAATATTAATCATGGAAAGATTTTCCCGAGCTCGTACTCTCTCGTCCGCCATCAACACAAGCTTCCACGCCGGCAAAGCCAAGCTCCCAAACCCGACCTCTAGTTCCGCCTGCACCCTCGCTGTCCCTCCAACCCGACCATCTCCATCTCCTCCGCTCCATTCCCAGCGAACCCGCCAACTCGAGTCGTCAACCCCACCCCCGCTCGAGCTCCGACCAGCAGCGACGACCGCGCCGCCTGAGTTCACCGTCAACCCCAAGCCCCGACGAGCCCCCGCCGGCGAACTCCGACCCTAGTCACCGCCTCACCTCCTCTCCGACCTCCTTCCTGAAACGCCGTCAGCCCCATTCGCCACCACCACGACCAGCCTTCGCCGTCGCGACCAGCAGCCATCTCCCTTCCCCTCTCCTCTCCGCCGCTGACCGCCAGTTTGTTTTTAATGTAAAAATTGTAACTTTTTGCTTAAAATCATCAAACACGTTCTATAAATGCATGAGTGAATCTCGATTCACTGCAGTGAATCTCGATTCACATCAGTGAATCTCGATTCACATCAGTGAATCGCGATTCACTGAGTGAATCCAGATTCACTGAGTGAATCCAGATTCACTGAGTGAATCCAGATTCACTGCAGTGAATCCAGATTCACTGCAGTGAATCCAGATTCACTGAAGTGAATCCAGATTCACTCATGCATTTATATAACGTGTTTGATGATTTTAAGCAAAAAGTTACAATTTTATATAAGTGATCTTTAAGCAAAAACAAGCTATAAAATTTTATAACATGAAAAATTTTCACCTTTTACAGCAAAAAGTTATGATTTTTATGGTAAAAAACAAACACCTCACATAATTGAATCTGGATTCACTGCAGTGAATCGAGATTCACAGAAGTGAATCTAGATTCACTCATGCGTTTATTGAAGTAAAACACAAGCTGGATTCACTGCAGTGAATCGAGATTCACTGAAGTGAATCGAGATTCACTCATGCATTTATATAACGTTCACTCATGCAGTGAATCGGAGGCACTCATGCAGTGAATCCGATTCACTCATGCAGTGAATCGGAGGGAGCTTGATGGAGAATAACAACCAACAAACGCCAAGAAATTGAGCACGCCAATGACTTCAAGAACCATCAGCTCCCCCTCGCCCGCATCAAGAAGATCATGAAGGCCGATGAGGACGTTCGGATGATCTCTGCAGAGGCGCCCATCCTCTTTGCCAAGGCCTGCGAGCTCTTCATCCTTGAGCTCACCATCCGTTCATGGCTACACGCTGAGGAGAACAAGAGACGAACCCTCCAGAAGAACGATATTGCTGCAGCCATAACAAGAACCGATATCTTTGACTTTCTTGTTGATATTGTACCGAGGGAGGAGATAAAGGAGGAAGGAGCTGCTGGATCGGATGTTGAGTCGGGAGGATGCGGCGGCAGCAGGGTGCCCTACTACTATCCGCCAGCAGGGCCTGGTGGAGTGATGATGGGACAGCCAGCAATGGATCCGGCGATGTACATGCCAGCAGCCATGGCAGCCGATGTGGCAGCAGGGGATGGCAGATGATGCAAGTGGTAGTGTGTATGGTGCACAGGGATACACAGTACCTCCTCCGCCACCGCCGCCACCACCACCACCAGGTTCCTAATTTGTCTCTTTTAGGGTTTCTATTGTGTAATCATGAAGAATGTATCCAGCATTGCTACATTTGAATGAAACAAAATTTCTAGCAACTCCAGTGTGTGCTTGTTTTGCTTGTTTTGGTATCAGAACATCTTCTTTGTTGTTACTATGATCACTAATATAGAATAGATTTCCATAGCTCTTGAGATATAATCAGGAATATTTCTCACTTCAATCTCTTAAAAAATAATAATAAAATAAAAAATAAAAGATTTCAAGAGCATATTTTAATAACTTTATATATTTTCTTCTGAATTTGTATGTCGACTACTTCAACAGTTCAATTGTTGCTTCTCCTTGTTAGGATCTAAGCGTTCAAAGGTGATAACAATGGCAGTCTTTAAATTGTTTGTATAATTTGTGTATTTTAAGTGTGACCTTACGGGAAATTATTGGTTCTTGCTAATGTCATTTTCGTTTTACTGAGATATTCCAACAGAAGTGTAGCCCTTATGTTTACAACTTCACAGATAAATAAAAATAACAAATAAAGTAAAGATAAATAAAAATAACAAATAAATAAGTATAAGCAAGGTTATTGATAGTGGATAGCATCGTGTAGCGGTAAGGCATCGCTAAGGCTATTTAGGGCTATTGCGGCAAAATAACGGTAAAAAGCGTAGCGTCAAATAGCGGTCTAATTTAGATATATATAAATATTTAAAAAATAAAAAAAGTAAAGATAAACTAGAAAATCTCAAAGTGCATATTTGATGATTTAAAAAGATCCTAAGCATGAAATAGACATGTAACATTTACATAATACGAAAGACGACTGAAGGAGGAGTCAAAGAGTCGTCATCTTCGAAAAGATGAGTTGAGCAATGAGAGGATTGCAGTAGGAGCTCACGACGAGAGAAGGTGAGAGGAAGTGCTGAGGGAATACGCCGAAAATCGCGAGGCTGTGAGATGCAGTGGTTGTAGCCGGGTATAATTTTTAAAAAATAAACCTCAAACCGCTTTTAAATAACGGTCAAAAAGTAAATTTTGCCCACAACTGCCCACTATTCACTGCTATGACGCACTATTAGCCGCTTTTGTGAGTGGAAAGCGCAGAATGACCGCTAATGCTATTAGCGTCGTAATTTACCGCTATTTATAACAATGAATATAAGAGAACAAAAACTTCTAGTAAAAATGGAAGACAAAGCCCTTTCAAAATTCAGATGCCTGCTCGTCTCTCTTGTAAGCTATTGTCGTTTATCTCACGTCAGAAATTTACGAAAGTACAAACGGATTTAGAATTAATTACATTCTAGCGCCCTCAGGTGTAGTAATAAGGTGATTCTGGAGTCTTGTATATCTACACGGATAACCTTTAGATTACTAACTGTAATTACATGGGTAACCTTAGAATCTGTTGGCAAGGTAATGGTGTTTGTTTGTTTTTTCCTTCTTTTTTTTGTGCTAATGTAGAGTTCTTGTCGCAAGTCAATTAATGTTAAGGTTAGGGTTAGGATTGGGGTTAAGATTAGGGTTATAACAATGACTAATCAATAAAGTTTCCTTGTTATAACCCTAATCCTAGCTCTAACAGCAAAAATAGTTAGTAATTTTTGCTATAATCTAAACATAACTCTTATCCTAGTCATAACCTTAAACCTGATCTTAACTAACATCCAAAAAAATTCACATCATGTCGCGGCCTGGGCTCACGGACCTATTGGCGCATGCAAGCCGTGGGACCCATAGAGAGCAACTCGATATGGGCTAACATCTACTTGTCAAAATGCTAGCATTTAGTTGCCCTTGAGTCTTGAGTTTTCTCTATTTAAATCATTAAATTTTCTTCACACTAGTCCATATGGGACTAAAGTGTGGGGGCATCACAATCACCTCACCTTACAAAGACGACATCCTCGTCATCGCGACATGATAATTGGTATATTCCAGTGCTAATGCCAGGCGATGTGGATTATACAGGTGGCTCTTACGAGTTCTAGAGGTGACTCCCACCGCCTCCACACGGTGTAGCACTTAGCTCCGTATAGCACTTAGCTCCACATTTTCGGCTGGCAACTGCTAATACCATTTTATTTTGTCACGCCCCAGCCCACGGGCCCGTTGGTGCGTGCAAGCCATGGGACGCACATAGAGCAACTCGATGTTGGGTAATATCTAATTGTCAAAATGGTAGCACTTAATTACCTTTGAGTCTTGGCTTTTTTCTATTTAAACCATAAAATTTTCTTCACACTTGTCCATGTGGGACTAAAGTGTGGAGGTATCACACATCAGCAAAAACATATCAATGTTAACCAGTCGTCAAGTTTAAGGGTTACTTGTCCAATTAAAATCAACATCTCAATCTCAAGGTTACCCGTGGAAAGATGTTGATTCTAGGGTGGGTTACCCGTATAATTAGAGCATACTTCAGGTGTACCAGATTATAATTAATTCATGAATTTATAACGTGGGCTTTGAGAATCAAATGTAACAATAACTTATCATTTTGGCAATGGTATAAGCTAAAAAGACGTGTTGCATTGGATGGGGTCAAGAGCTTGCTTCAATATTTTAAAAAGCGGATGCCTAGGCCTAGGCAGCAACTAGGCCACCTTCCTAGGTCTTGGGAGTGCATAGGGGAGCATGAGTCATCTATGCGAACTGCATTGCTCAGATCATTGTCGTGATTTCCTCCGTTGTAGCCTCCAAGTCCTCGAACCTCTTAACTTGTTCAGAAAACCTCCTCCGACTTTCAGAAAGCTTTCACCACCACTTAAAAAAAATCTGCCTAGGCGCTAGTCTGAGGCCTAGTGATGCCTTGGCTATTTCTATAACATTGCCATTTATTATTGATTATTATAACTAAAAAAATAAAAATAAAAAACCAGCCTAAACCCTGCTTAGGCTTTAGGCATCGAGTCTAGTGCCTAGGCTGCCTAGCGGTTTTTGTAATATTAACTTGCTTACATCGTATCAACAAGCCTTCGGATTCCGGACATGACAACTACTCTACCAGTAAAATACCCTAAAGTAACAACATAAAACTAGAAATATGTTAAACATTATTTTGTTTAATCTCTTATTGGGTTCATCTCAAAATGACCATAATGTTGGGTATTTCATGTGTCAGTATAGTCTCAATTTGAAAAAATCAAGAAAAAATTATTAAACTTTAATAAAAAGTAAGTACCTCTACCTAATAGTTTTGGGGTTAATTTCATTATTGATCTCTATTTAAAGCCCATTAACTCTTATGTTGGGCCCGATTTCTCCCCAACAAGTGATACTAAAACCTTGGTTATGGTCCCATGGAAAATTAAGTCCAATGTGAGGCCTAAGGATGTTGAGAGAACGACTGAGGTCAGATTAACCAACACAACGTCTTTTTAGCACACAAGATGGTGAAGCTTGTGGACAGTTGAAGTCATATGGATGGTCGTGGCCATATATTACTACATTGCTACCGGTGTAGACCAAGTCAGGTAGACTACGATTTGTTAACCCCAAGATGGTAGAAGATCCTAGGATGTTGGTAGTCATGTTGGATTGTTGCTCGCCCATGATTATCGATGTAGGCCAGAGGCTGGTCAAGTCCTGGATTAAGGAAGGTGCAAAGCATCACCCACAAGATCTGGTTAATCCACATATGTTGAAAGATTATATGAATGTTGGGAGCAATATTCACGCTCCATGATTGCTGGTTTAGACCAAATCAGTGGAGCATCCATGTTCCCATGGATGATTGAACTATACTCACAAATGAAGGTTGGGAACTTCAATGTATAGTGTAATCCAACATAGGAAGGTAAAGAAAAAGTGATGGATTTATACAGAAAACCGGGTAAATATCTAATAGCTTAAGATATGGGTTAATTTAATCGTCACTAGTCAACCTCTATTCAAGGCCCATTAACTTATCTGTTCAGCACAATTTCTCCCCAACAAGCTCTACTCAGTTTCATAAGAAACACATTCTAACATCATCCTACAAATCCAGAACAATACTCCAATATCAAATGGCAGACCGCTATCATATGTTACTAAAACTTTCACATCATAGTCAGATTCAAGCAATGCCCAGAGAATTCAATTTGTCGATCCAATATTGTGTTACCGTAGATCTAAGAACATTACCAGGAAATTTGGAACTTCTAAGTACCCAATATAGAAAATAAATTGATTAGTCGAGGGTTAGTGCAATTCATGATGGATTTGATTCGTACAACAAAAGGTTAAAATGAGCTTAGTATTATTTTCAAATGGAAAGTATGAATTTTGGAATTCAGATATAGCACACCAACTAGAAATTGTCATTATGTTTGCATACATGTTGGAGAAAAAAATGCACGTGTTATGTCTAAAGTCTATCATATAGGATAACAAAACTTTAATGATACCTGAATAATCTACAAAAATAAATCATAAATATTTTCAACCGAAAATATTGAGTTTTTGTAGTTAAAAGAAGCATTGGCCAAAGGACGTAATTAGGAAATGGTTTGGCCAAGAATAAATCTAAAAAAAAGTTGAAGAGTTACATAACTAAAGTGAAAAAAGAGATTTTTCATGCAACTTGTGTAGTGCAGAAAACAGTACATTCCTAAAACAGCACTGTCGCCTTCAGCTGATAAAGAGTGAAAGGACTGAAACTTTTGTTGTCACATCTTCAAAAGACCAACAAATTATAGAATTCACATAGCAAAATCTCAATGCAGAAAAACTCAAGTCAATCCACATATCCTACAGAAACCAAACTACACCACACAAATCTTGGTCTACTCAATCTTTTGCCCCTCCTTATCCTTTAACCAGAGAACTGGAAGAACCCAAATAAGTAAAACAAAACTGACCCACTTGGCCGACCTAATTGCACAAGTTGGACATACCTGTCCAATCAGTGAAAATATCACGGTGTCACACTGGCTACATCATTCTTTAGATTCTAGCCGAAAAAAAAAGGTTTACCAAAAGTATACGATAAATATAAAGTGAAATTGACTAGCAATCTCTTGATTGACACACTTTAGTTTTGAATCTGTGTTGGTGCACACTCTGGTCCATCGGAACAAATTATCCTTTTGATCCATGCTAGGAAGCCATATACCAAAAAAGGATTCAATATAAAGAAGTAAGAATAAAGTTATACTGAACAAATAAAATATTTGTCATTTCCACGTAAAAAGGAGTTAGAAACACCATCTTTAACACAACGCAAAAGTAAATATATAGATGCTGCACTAACAGGATAAAGTGGCCAGAATAGGAGCTTCAAGAGTTAATCTTGAGTGAACCAATAAATTTCTTCAATTTAAATCATTCACCTTTCAGCAAAAGTCCTCTTTGAGATTCTGATGTAGAGAAACTGGAACACAATGAGAGAACTTAAAGATAATGAAGGTGGCAAGCAGATCAAACAGAAAATGCTACTGAAATTGAATTCATCATTATTTCCTTGAATAAAGCGTCCCCATATTTGTTATTTAGCTGTCAATGTTCATGTATCTATCCAAACGAGCTAGAATACCTGAAGAAAGTGCCGAAATTTTGTCAGCATGTACTGCAATCTGATTGGTACTGAATGCAAATTTGAGATGAAGCACATTTAATGGCTCTTCTGCGTAAAATGGTAATTTTAAAAGGTCCACCATGGAAAAGAAATATTTGGACTCATGTAGTTTAGTAGTGCATAATTTATGGGAACAAAAACTTGGTTATGAATGTGGACCATGGTTGCATCAAACCCGGTTCATATGCAGGGAAAGAATACTGAAGGGGTTGGAAATAGTCTTCCCAAAGAGCAACATCAGTACACAACTACACTAGTATTATTGATTGTATCCCAAAGAGCAACATCAGTACTACACAACTAAAATTTATTGATTGCTGGTTTGGCTTCTCTAATGGCCTAACCCACCTTTCTAGCGAACCAAGCCCCTCTGGTTTGCAAATTGGTTTGCAAATTGGTTCCCAAAATTGACATAACCCTTACAACTATGCGGGTGCAAAGTACTTATTTGTACATACATAGTGTGAAAAGGAATAAATTGAATAGTGGAAGGCAAATAAATTAGTATTCACCAATTCAAACATTCGCCTCTTATCACGATTTTATGAGAATTACAAAGTCGGTCTTCATAGAGGACGGATATTAATCCTAATAACAATAATTTGGAGGAGGCTTCAAGTAAATTGGAGGAGCTTGGATGGAACTGTTTGGATTCAAAATTAGTTGCGGATGCACTTAATGCTAAGGGGAAAAAAGTTGAAAAGGGGCAAAAATATTACGTTGCTTAGTCTCTAACTTATATGTTTTCTATCTTATGTATTCAGAAATTTTGAAAGTAAAGCATTGAAGTATTTTGTATGAAAAAATATTCAAATGTATAATTAACTGTCTAGTTTCCAGTTTTATACTATACACTTTGAGAAATGGTATGTGCACCTAAAAGAAATTTACAATATAACACGTACCAAATTTGCTTAACAAATAAACCTTCCCCTTAAAATCCGAAATAACTAAGCGGCGAATTCCATATCCGAATTTGTACCATAACCTGCTACGTATCCCGTACCATGTCTACAAAGTACTGATTCAAGTTTACACAAAAATCTATAGCATGTTAACAGTTCTTCTGAAAACACTTACCCACACATGTATGCATGTATGTTTATTTAGTAATGGTATTTAGAAAGTAGACAAACCAATGCAAATCACTCCAGAGTGTTCAATATAGTAGACTATATGTTAAATATAATAGGATATCTTTACTTATTCCATATCTCCTATATTTGGTATTGCATATACCCATTGTTTTAAATGTCCACAATATAGCCTGATGACAACTGATATATTCTTCGATAGGGCTTGCCGCAAAACGATGTGGTCTTAATATCTTTAAATGTTTATATCTTTAAATGCTTTTAAGAAAAACTTGTGCTATGTTTAAGAAAAAATTCCATCCCTATAAAGTTTTTAGCAAACTTCTATCATGTTTCTTTAGCTCAGAAAGTTTCTACAAATGGTTACTGATTCTAATCATATATTATTTACATTTTTGCTACAACTGGTTAGTGGTTCTAAACATATATTATTTAAATTTTTGTAAAATTTGATTTTATTAAGTATGTTTAGATTATATTTTAGGATATTATATTATATATGCGCATCATTCGATATGACACTCCGATATTTACTATCATTGTTTTAAATATCCCCAACATGGCCCAATAGATCGCTCATATATCCTTGTATAGGACTTGCCGCAACTGATATAGTCTCTCAATATCCTTTAACACTTTTTGGCTATTTTGGGTGATATATCCTAATATGGCCGATATATTACCCAATATGTCCGATATATTAGCCAATATGTCCTTTTATATTGCTTGTTGCAAAATAATATACCGCGTTTGACAATCTTTGAGCGAGATATCATGATTTTCCCATAATACTAAATGACATTTTGGCCTAAAAAAATCAGATGAAGTGTTACAATGTGGATTTGTACTTTTATTTGTTTTACAAGGTTGATTAGTGATCCTAAACATATATTATTTATATTTCTTATGCTTAGATTTTATCAATTATGTTGAGATTATATTTTAGTGTATTATACTACATATGCAAACATATGTCATGATATTCCAATATTTACTACATATCCCTAATATTTCGTTGATATCCGCAATTCGATATGAATTTTCACTATCCGATATTTCCCCGATATCTGATATTTAAAACCTTGTTTACTACATATACCTTGTTTACTACATATACCTTATATCTGTAATTTGATATGAACTTTGGTCATCCGACAATTCCAAGATATACAATATTTAAAATCTTGCATATACCTATATTTGGTAGTGCATACACCTTCTTATCTCCTTACATCACGTGTTCTAATATCTCTAATCAACACATCCCGGTATTTGGATGAGAATTAAGCATTTCAATGGATATTGTACATCGACAGAAAAATGTTAATGTTCATTGCTGATGAGTTGAAAGAGAGGAGCTCCTCGTGAAGAAAATAAATAGATATTGATGTCAATACCCTCATGAAGAAATCTTATGATAAAAGAAGAATTCTTATTATAAAAGAATAAATACAAGTCATACCCAAATCAGCAAATGTGATGGCAATGGGCTTTTTAAAAAGAAAAAGAGTCCAATAGCAAATGCTAACGAATGAGAGGGCACTCCAAATGACATTAATGACGAGTGCATAATAAAGAGATTATAGCGATATAATGTCAACAAGTTCGATTGGTCAACGGTGAGTGGCAATGACTGGTAACTGTTTACATTAGCTAAGATTATAGTGTAGATAACATATCTAAAGTAAATAAAAAAGAATCATTTTTAATGTCAAAGCTAGCTACCAAGGGGAAGCATATTGCAACATAATCCCCTTAGCGGCCCAAAGACTATGAAAGAAGAGAGGTCTCTAGAACTGAGAATCTATCTCTGATACTATGTTAGAATTAGAAAAGATGAAAAAATATTTGTAATTGATAATTCATTGATGCATATACATATACATGATAAGAGGTCTGTTAAAGAAGATTAAGGTAAATAAGAGACTTAATGATAAAATCATATTTCTCTTTATTACTTATAGCACTAGGGAATAAAGCATGTGATACGCTAAATATATTCTTAGCAAATTCTCTCATTCTCTCAAGATATTCCTAATACATCACAATTAACATATTTACTAATATATACTTCCTAGTATGCTAAATAAAATTTTAACACTCCTTCGAGTCGGAGTATGTATATTATAAATGCCCAATTTTTTATTTAAAAAAACACAACCACTCCATAACTTTAGTTTGTCATGAAGCTAGGCTCAAGGTCTACTTCATGTGACCTTCCTCATTAAAGATGATAAATATTTTTGCATTCATTTGATATCCATTAAAATAGCCTTGACCTGCTAATCTCCCAACTAAAGTTCATCCACCACAACCATCTACATGAAGAAATTTACTCTATCACGATCATTACCTCTACTTAAATAACCAAAAGAAAACATCTTGACATCTTCATATGTCTCCTTAGACTAAAAAACTACTCATAAATTAGAGATATGTTAATTGAGAAATATTGGGAATAATGTTGGGAGAATAAGGGATTATGCTGAGAACATAGTTAGCATATTTCTCAAAACATGTATCACACTTTCAATTCTCTAGTATTATAAATATAAAGTTAAACATGGATCTATTATTGAATATTTGATTTACCGTAATCTTCAATAGGTCTTCTATCATGTAAATGTACTCATCACTTGTCATATGCATTGATGAATTATCAATGAGAGATGGTTCTTCATCTTCTCCGAATCTAACACAGTATCAGAGCTAAATTCTCAGCCTTAAGAGACATCTCTCTTCTTTCATACTCCTGTGGTCACTAAGGGGCAAACTTTGTCTCTGCGTGTAGCTTTGACATCATAGAAATTTTCTTTCTATTTACCAGTGTTTTAAATGTCGGCAGACACGTCACTATCCGACATGATATGAAGTTTTTAATGCATATTGCGTTTTCAGTATTCATGTCGGATATATCGAGGGACGTGTCGGATATGTCGAGCGAATATGTCGGGGGACATTGTCAGTTATGTCGGGCGATTTTTCAGTTTGAAAAATTAGCTAATTTTTTTATTTTTTTGGTTATGTTTATCTAATCAGGTTTGAATTTAAATTCTTGATTGTCTTAATATTACTTCCAAAGACAAAAACCGATAACTTAAGGGAAATGAAAAAAAAGACCGAAGTAATTTTCATCGGTCATCTTCTCTCTCTCTCTTTTAACATCTCATCAGTCTCTTCTCCGAGCTATTCCTTCGATATCAATATCAGGTGATCTTCTCTCTTCTTAACCGCAAATATCAGAGTCCTTTTTCCTAACTTCTTTCCTTCAACATCAACCATAAGCATCATAAGTTATTTATTTTTTATATGTTTAGATAATAAAAGTTATTAAGTATATTTAGATTTTATTTATGATATTTATATTACACATATGTACACCATCTGATATGGTAATCCGTTATTTTTCTATGTCCCCTGATATATCCCCGATTTTCGCTATCCGATATGAATTTTAACCGTCCGACAAAAACTCGACATCCGACATTTAAAACCTTGTTATTTACTTTATATATTCTATCTTCATTATCATCTTAACTGTCATTAACACTCTAGATAATCACACTTTTATTGTTGATCAATTGACCTTCTATGCACTCTCTTTCGCTTTGATCTCTCGACCACGTACTCACCATCAACATCCTATGGAGTGCCTTCTCATCCAATGTCCTCTTTTGAGAGGCTCTCTTTGAAAAGCTCATTGTCATCATATTCAATGTTTTGGCTAAACTCGTGTTCAATTTCTCGTGAGATATTCCTTACGGCTTTGACATCAACCATTGTCCATTGAGATTTTTCTCACAACAAGCTTCCCATTTTCATGTTATCCGCATTGATCATCAAGATTTATTTGTTGAAATACATGAATTTCTATCTTGTGCCGTTCAATTTTTTTGTTGTTAAGGTTTTCTTTGTTGATGCACCTGATTTGTATTTTTCATTGTTGATCACGTCAACATTAAGATCTTTTCTATTGATACCCTTTAATTCCTGCCATATGCAATCAATCTCGTAGCCATTGGATTTTTCTTCAATGATGATCCCGGAGTTCTATCCGATTATTTATCTTATCTTGTCATAGCACTTCGATTGTTCCATTAAGGCTTCATCTCTTAGATATTTTTGTCGATTTTGATTCTTATCCAAACTCACAATTTTTGTCCCACTGAGAATTAAAAGGAGCATGTCAAATATAGTAGAATATATCTGCTTATTCATATTGTTTATATTTGATAGCGCATATATCTTCTTATTTTCTTCCGTTTTATTAAAATTTTCTATGTTACATCTCATATAATGTGCAAGTATATGCACACATCACTTTTCATATGAATCAATGAGTTCTCATATGAGACAATTATTTTTAATCTTTTTTGAACTTAACAGCAATAGAAGCACAATACCCAATCCTCTTACTCGCGCCAAAAACACACACATGCGAACATCTGTTATGTTCTATATGAGCAGGTGCATCGTTTGGATAACTTTGGAGCCCAAAACGCCAATGACACTCATACACATGTGGACACTACTCAAAAACTTTCATCAAATTTATAATTTTATACTATAGTTGAGTTGGATATTGGGCCTATACATGGATTTACTTGTGTAAACTCTTTATTATTTAATTATTGTTTATTTTTACTATTATTTATTATTATTCATTGATATGAAATCAATATTCAATTCTTACTCGCTAAGCCTCTAAGGAATAGGTTGAAAAGATGACTAATAAATTTGAGTTTGGAATTGTATGTAGAAGTTCTTGTATTTAAATGCAATATCGCACCCTTGAAACTATCTTTAATCATAAACCTCTTCTTGATCCAATTGTTGTGAGGCACATCGCCTATTCCTTTGAAACCAATTGGTTTGAGAAATTTAGAATTCATAAACAATTTGATCAGATAGTGCCATTAGACCCATTACATACAAACTCAATATTAAAAATTAATTTGATTCAATGATAGACCAAATTGTCAATTTAAAGGTCTTTATATTAGCACTAGAGGTGACAAACGGCTTGAATTAAAAGCAGAATTGTCATATAATAGACCGTATAAGCCAAATTTGCAACCGACCCACTTAATAAATCACATCGCAAGAAAGTTGAGTATTCTATCTAGTAAACCACTTATTAAATGGATTGGTTACTTATGACAACGGACGATGAATGTTAGGAAAAATATTAGGAGTTTATACTTTCATTACTTTATTAGCATGTTTAAGGGATTGGACTTAGCTTCAAGTATAGATTAACCCAAAATTAATACTTAAATGTGTAACCTGATCAAGCGGGTCAAGTATACAAACTTATATCAGGGTTAGGTAGGTAGGTAGGTTGAGTTGATTTCAAACACATACCTGATTAGGTTATAACCATAACAGAATTATCAAGTCGTGTTTGGGTTATATGGGTAGGTCAGGACCTATGTTGCAAGGAAACGGGCATGAGTATTGGTACTGACATGGGTACAAAACATAGTTATATAAATATTTGCACACACTGTAGAGAAATGGAAAACTCAAAAGATCATTATTCGTCTAATCCTAATATTTCTTAATTAGAAACAAAATAGGCATGAGATAAAATCACATCTAATCACATCTTACAATATTTTATAATATCTATTAAATCTACTAATACTAAATTATTAATAATATCTAACACTCCTGTTTAAGCTGGAGCGTATATACTATATATATCTAGCTTGTTACAAATGGCAACAAAACAGCTAGTTGCAAGAGCTTCGGTAATAAAATCTTTGTCTGGAATACTTTAAGACGTCAACAATCAGAATATTGTATCACAGCCAGTAGAAACCTTAGGCGGGTACACTAGTAGAAAAAACTCTAGACGGTTAAGCTAATAGAAAAAACTCTAGACGAGTAAGCTAGTAGAAAAAACCCTAGATGGGTAAGCTAGTAGAAGAAACCACGTGCGGGTTAGCTAGAAGAAACCCTAGACGGGTCGGACAGTAGAAACCCTATGCGAGAAAGCTAGTAAATACCCTTAGATAAGTCAGGCAGTAAAAACCCTAGGTGGGTACACCAGTAGAAGCAACATTGAAAGAGAACCGCTGTCATTGCATATAACTACAAATATTATGAAGAGTGAATAGTAACTCCGATTATTGTTTATCGCGTGAGCACTAAACTCACTACTGTTCATCGCATAAACAATAGTGCCACTATTTTTTATTATTTATTTAGGTTTTTTTGTGGACGGTGTTTGATAAAATCTAGGAAACAATGAATCCCGAAAGTTGAACTAGACACCCAGATGGCCCTTTAAAATCAATATTAGGAGCCCGATCGATGTCCAATGAGTTCCAAGAAGTGGAAGTGAAGTGTAAGATATATGTTCGAGAACTACATGAGAACTAAAATTAAAAATGCATTGTCTTGTTGAGTACATTCTTGAATAAGTATATGCATATATGCAAAAAGTGTGAGTTTGGGTACAGTTACATGTCAAGTTATGGCAATGTTACATTAAACGCTGGGCGTTTCTAGGTGTCGGACTTGACGTCCAGCGCTTAGTTGTCTAGGCGAGCGCCTAAGCGGTTTCTGGGCGTTTTTTTTTATTTTTTATTTTTTTAATTGTGATACTTGAAGATAAATATATATATACTCAATTAAAGATGCATAAATACTTAAAAATACCAACACTATTAACTAAATTGCTTGGTTTACCAATTACAATAGCTCTTTGTATGTTTATACTTCTCAACTCAAATTATAAGTTCATCTCAACAGTGAAAAACTCATTCTCAACTCAAATTACTGTTAACTTATAAGTTACTGTTAAGTTTAAGTAAACAATAAACTTAAACTTAAGTTTACTGTTAACTTAAGTTTACTGTTTACTTAGACTTAAGTTTATCATTAACAAAAAACTTAATATTAACTTAAACTTAAACTTAAACTTAAGTTTACTGTTAGCTTAAACTTAAGTTTAAATTTAAGTTAAACTTAAGTTTAACTTAAACTTAAATTTAAATTTAAGTTTACTGTTAACTTACACTTCTTAAGTTTAAGTTACTGTTGTTAACTAACTTAAATAGATATTTAAGAAGTACTCTTTATCTTGTTATTAGTTATAGAGATCGGGGGAGCTCGGTAATGTTACAGAAGACGCTAGGCAGATTAGACGTTTGAGCGAACACCTAGCACCTAGACCTCTAGGCATACGCCTATACAGCGCCTTTGGCTATTTTTAAATTATTTAATTATAATAATTAATAAAAATATGTATTAAATTCATATAAGTTTTTAAAAAAAGATAGCAATCTTAGTTCCATAATAAATCATGCATACTTAGATACTAAATAGCCAAAATAATAAAGCAATCTTAGTTCCATAATAAATCATGCATACTTAGATACTAAATAGCCAAAATAATAATTAACAAGGCTAGAGCCTAAGATGTTTATGCATACTTAGATACTAAATAGCCAAAATAATAATTAACAAGGCTAGAGCCTAAGATGTTTTTTTTTTTTTTAATTATAATAATTGATAGTGAATGTTAATGTTATAGAAAGCTTAAATGCCTAACTAGTGTCTAGGCGGATTTCTTTCTTCATTTAAGTGGTGATTGATGAGGTTTTGCTGAAGGTCGGAGGAGGTAGTGGTGTTCATATTTAGAGGTTAATAGAGTTTGGAGGACGTGTAGGCTACAACGCATAAAATCACAACCAAGGCCTATAGGGTGCAATCCACATAAGCAGACAATGTTCTCCTAAACGCTCGTAAAATCTAGGTGGATAGCCTAAATACCGCCTAGACGCTAGGCGCTAGTTAGGCGGCCTAGGTACCGCCTAGGCCTAGGCGTACGTCTAAGCGGACTAGGCGGATGTTTTTTAAAATAGTGAGTTATGGGTACTGTCAAGTTATGGGTACGGCTACAG